GTGCAAGCTGGAGCCTCATTTTGAAATCTTACTCCTCACTAATAACAATATAAAAAACAGCCTAGTTATAGTTGCAAAATAAAATACTTTTAAATATTAAATTCAATATAAAAAAAATATTAAATTTAATATTAAATTCAATATAAAAACTAGAGGCCGCTGAAAAATTTGTAAGCGGTAATTGTTTATTAAATTTCGTCTTTTTGCATCATGTAATGCATGTTGACTTTTATTTTCAATAAACACTTAAAAAAAATGCGTATGAACTTGATTAACTTAAATAGACTTGTTCTTTTGAGGCCTCATAATGATGATGCGCCTAGGGCCTCCAAAAGTATAAATGTGGCCCTGTGAGTTATAAAGGTTTGAGTAAATAAAATCGAAAAGTCTCAATATTTCTTGTAAGACTATTATGATTAAAGAATCTTGAAAAGCTTAAAAGTTTTAAAAGTCTTAATGTCTTCAATATCTTGAATGATATCAATGTGAAATATTTTTCGTAAATTATCACACGTTCATATGCACAATACTCATATACACAAACACACATAAATATAAATTTAAAACTTTCATGCTTTTAAGATTTGTCAAACTTCTTAATTAAAACAGTCAAGATGTTTTAATCTTTAATCTAAATTTTTAATCTTTAGTCATTCTTGGCTTGCTTAAAAATTTGCAAGTAAGTCTTGAAATCACATTATTAAATAAATGCATATATAATTTTGTGTTTTAGAATGAATACAAAAATAATAATATCGACGAAGATCAATAAATTATATGTATACTCGTCAAAGAATATAAAAAATTCAAAAGTTTTCAAATCGGTCATATCAGATATTTATATATCAGTTACATTTTGTTGTTGTGAATTTTAAGTCTAATAAATTAATCATGCCTTCTTAAATCCATATCAGCTATTATTTCAGCACATTCTGATGAACAAGCATAACATTCAAACCATGCATTGGAAATATTTTCTGATACACTAAATTTAACATTCAGCATTGAAACATACTCATAAAAATTTATGAAGCGCTTTTCATAATAACGAAAACATGGAGTTTCACATAAGAAGCAATATCTTTTATCATCCAAATATCTGACCAATACTTTATTACGTTTGTATAATACGTTTGTGTAATTCCATCTATAATCGTCAAAATTATTAAAAATATTGAAATAATTTTGACTTATACACTATTTTTCAAGAGTCAAATTAAATATAATTAAAAACATCTAAATAATAGCAACAAACCCAGATTTCAGGATAACGTCAGCTGAATATTCCATAAGACTTAGCACTTCAAAACTCGTAGACATCGTAGGCAAATCATCATCACTATCGTCATCTAAATTAAATGGATTCCCATCAACATTTATATGCACCCGTAAATATGCCACACTTCCTGGTAAATATAACAAATCATTGTCGGACAAATCAAGAATGCTTAATTTTTTTAAATTTGCGAGATTTTGTGGTAAACATTTTAAGTTATTGCAAACAAGTTTTAAATGAGTTAAAGCATTTAGTTTTCCAATTTGTGGCGGTAATTCCGTTAACTAGAAATAATTAATAATTTTATAATTTATTAGTAGATAATAAATATAAACCAACCTTTTTATTTTCTTATAACAATTTTAGTTCTCTTTATGATGTTTCGATGAATAAATAGTGCAAGTCTTACCAGATTGTCCGACAGATATAATTCTGACAATTTATTTCTGACTTCAGTTTGCTCTAGCCATTCCCACGTATTGTGATCCGATTTTCCAAGGTGATTAGAAGTGAGATCAAGATACATAAGATGCGGCAAAGTACCCAACTCTTTTGGTAAAAACTTAATTTTGTTTCTGCTTACGTTTAACGACTGTAGATTTTTCAAACACGTAATTTGTAATGGAAATTCAGTCAACTATGTATAATAGTACATTGTTAGTGTCTCAATAAACGGTCTCAGTAAATTCTATTAGAGTTATACCTTTTATTTTTAAATAGCAATTTATTTAACCAGTTGAAATAATAAAATGCCAGTAATTAAACAGCACAACTTACAAAATTGCCACATATGTCTAAGTGTGATAAATTATCTCTAATGGGCATTTCTAACCATTCCCATGTAGAATGTTGACATGTTCCGAGCAAATTATCCATTAAATCAAGTACTATCAGTTGAGATAAAATACCAAATTCTTTTGGTATGAACTTGATCTTATTTTTGAATAAGTATAAGAATTGTAAATTTTTCAAACAAATAATTTGTAATGGTATTACAGTGATCTATAAACAATGTTAATTTATTAATAACGGTTAATAGTAACTGTAATTTTATTAAATACAATATAATAAAAGAACATTAAAAGTTGTTGCAGGATGTTAGTGCAAAACTTTTAATTTTTCTTAAAAAAATTAATTAGTCTACATGAGACAGTTAAATTGTACACCGATCTCAGATCGAGATACATAAAGCGTACGAAAAGTGAAGTACATTGTTCTCACATATGGAGAATCATAATGTACTGATAGGAATTATTGGAAAGAAAGGAAGAGAGAGAAAAGAGATCAGGGTGCGAGTGGCTGTAATTGTATTGCTTTTTTTCTAAAAAAAAAATTTTGTTTTTGTTAGTTAATATCATGATATTTTAGTAATTCGATATTATAACTTACATAATTATGACTTAAGTTGAGTTCTCTTAAACTATTTCTAATGGGAGCTTGCATTAACCATTCCCATGCAGATTGATTAGATCTTCCAAGATCATTATTCGATAGATCAAGTTCCAAAAGAGGCAAATTACCAAACTCTTTTGGTAAGAAACTGATTCTCAAACTTGTCATATATAATATTGTGAGATTTTTCAAACATGTGATTTGTAAAGGTAATTCAGGTAGCTGTAAATAACAAAATAATTCAAGAACATAACGATAAATGGTGGATACGTAAAGTAACTTTTTCATTTTCTGTTAATTAGTGGTTAATATCATAACATTTGAGTAAATAGATAGTGTAACTTACGTCATAATGCATTATTTTCAATGATTTCAAATTATTTCTCATAGAATCTTGCTCTAACCATTCCCATGCAGATTGAGTAGTATTCACGACATAATTACTGGATAATGTAATCTTTTGTAGATGATGTAATGTACCGAACTCCTTTGGCAAAAAATCAAACTTACATTTATGTAAAGTTACATTTACTAGATTCCGAAGCGTATGCATTGTCAAAGAATAGTACAAAAGACAGTATGAAGATTCTTCTTCAAACCTCCATCTTTTTATAGTCAAATCTTCA